ATTCAGAATGAAAGGCGGGTATATGTGCATAGGATATTTAATATACACCATTCAATATGAAAGGCGGGTGTGTGTGTATATCGGACAAGTTAAAGACATCATTCAGAATGAAAGGCAGGGGTGTGTGTATATCGGACATGTTAAATACATTATTCAGAATGAAAGGCGGGTATGTGTGTATATCGGACATCTTAAATACATCATTCAGAATGAAAGGCGGGTGTGTGTGTATATCGGATATCTTAAATACATCATTCAGAATGAAGGGCGGGTGTGTGTGTATATCGGACATCTTAAATACATCATTGAGAATGAAAGGCGGGTATGTGTGCATAGGATATGTTATATACACCATTCAAGATGAAAGGCGGGTGTGTGTGTATATCGGACATGTCAAATACATTATTGAGAATGAAAGGAGTGTGTTTGTGTACATCGGACATCTTAAATACTTGATTCAGAATGAAAGGCGGGTGTGTGTGCATAGGATATGTTATATACACCTTTCAAGATGAAAGGCGGGTTTGTGTGTATATCCGACAAGTTAAATACATCATTCAGAATGAAAGGCGGGGGTGTGTGTATATCGGACATGTTAAATACATTATTCAGAATGAAAGGCGGGTATGTGTGTATATCGGCCATCTTAAATACATCATTCAGAATTAAAGGCGGGTGTGTGTGTACATCAGACATGTCAAATACATCATTCAGAATGAAAGGCGGATATGTGTGCAGAGGATATGGTCAATACACCATTCAAGATGAAAGGCGGGTGTATGTGTATATCGGACATCTTAAATACATGATTCAGAATGAAAGGAGTGTGTGTGTGTAGATCGGACATGTCAAATACATCATTCAGAAAGAAAGGCGGGTATGTGTGCATAGGATATGGTCAATACACCATTCAAGATGAAATGCGGGTGTATGTGTATATCGGACATCTTAAATACATCATTCAGAATGGAAGGAGTGTGTGTGTGTACATCGTACATGTCAAATATATCATTCAGAATGAAAGGCGGGTGTGTGTGTATATCGGACATCTTAAATACATCATTGAGAATGAAAGGCGGGTATGTGTGTATATCGGACATCTTAAACTTCATTCGGACTGAAAGGCAGGTGTGTGTGTATATCGGACATCTTAAATACATCATTCAGAATGAAAGGCGGGTATGTGTGCATAGGATATGTTATATACACCATTCAAGATGAAAGGCGGGTTTGTGTGTATATCGGACATCTTAAATACATCATTCAGAATGAAAGGCGATTATGTGTGCATAGGATATGTTATATACACCATTCAAGATGAAAGGCGGGTTTGTGTGTATATCGGACATCTTAAATACATGATTCAGAATGAAAGGCGGGTGTGTTTGTATATCGGACATGTTAAATACATCATTCAGAATGAAAGGAATGTGTGTGTGTACATCGGACGTCTTAAATACATGATTCAGAATGAAAGGCGGGTATGTGTGCATAGGATATGTTATATACAGCATTCAAGATGAAAGGCGGGTGTTTGTGTATATCGGACAAGTTAAATACATCATTCAGAATGAAAGGCGGGTGTGTTTGTATATCGGACATGTTAAATACATCATTCAGAATGAAAGGCGGGTGTATGTGTATATCTGACATCTTAAATACATCATTCAGAATGAAAGGCGGGTGTATGTGTATATCGGACATCTTAAATACATTATTCAGAATGAAAGGCGGGTGTATGTGTATATCGGACATCTTAAATACATCATTCAGAATGAAAGGCGGGTGTATGTGTATATCGGACATCTTAAATACATCATTCAGAATGAAAGGCGGGTGTATGTGTATATCGGACAAGTTAAATACATCACTCAGAATGAAAGGCGGGTGTGTGTGTATATCGGATATGTTATATACACCATTCAAGATGACAGGCAGGTGTGTGTGTATATCGGACATGTTAAATACATCAATCAGAATGAAAGGCGGGTGTGTGTGTGTTTATCGGACATGTTAAATACATCATTCAGAATGAAAGGCGGGTATGTGTGCATAGGATATGTTATATACACCATTCAAGATGAAAGGCGGGTTTGTGTGTATATCGGACATCTTAAATACATGATTCAGAATGAAAGGCGGGTGTGTTTGTATATCGGACATGTTAAATACATCATTCAGAATGAAAGGAATGTGTGTGTGTACATCGGACGTCTTAAATACATGATTCAGAATGAAAGGCGGGTATGTGTGCATAGGATATGTTATATAGAGCATTCAAGATGAAAGGCGGGGGTGTGTGTATATCGGACATGTTTAATACCTCATTCAGAATGAAAGGCGGGTGTGTGTGTATATCGGACATCTTAAATACATCATTCAGAATGAAAGGCGGGTGTGTGTGCATAGGATATGTTATATACACCATTCAAGATGAAAGGCGGGTGTGTGTGTATATCGGACAAGTTAAATACATCACTCAGAATGAAAGGCGGATGTGTGTGTATATCGGATATGTTATATACACCATTCAAGATGAAAGGCGGGTGTGTGTGTATATCGGACATGTTAAATACATCATTCAGAATGAAAGGCGGGTGTGTGTGTTTATCGGACATCTTAAATACATCATTCAGAATGAAAGGAGTGTGTGTGTGTACATCGGACATGTCAAATACATCATTCAGAATGAAAGGCGGGTGTGTGTGTATATAGAACAGGTTAAATACATTATTCAGAATGAAAGGCGGGTGTAAGCGTATATAGGGCAAGTCAAATTAATCATTCAGAATGAAAGGCGGGTGTGTGTGTATATCGGACATGTCAAATACATAATTCAGAATGAAAGGCGGGTGTGTGTGTATAAGGGCAAGTTAAATACATTATTCAGAATGAAAGGCGGATGTGTGTCTATAGGACATGTTAAATACATCATTCAGAATGAAAGGCGGGTGTGTGTATATAGAACAAGTTAAATACATCATTCAGAATGAAAGGCGGGTGTGTGTTTATAGGACATGTTAAATACATCATTCAGAATGAAAGGAGTGTGTGTGTGTACATCGGACATGTTAAATACATCAATCAGAAAGAAAGGCGGGCGTGTGTGTCTATAGGACATCTTACATACATCATTCAGTATGTGTGTGTATACTCAAAACTTTAGCGAAGTAAAACGGAGTACATTTTGTCGTAAATTTGAATGTAAATTTCACAAAGGGAAAAGAATGTTATTGTTATATTTATTTTCTGGTGGTTTGAAATAAAATTTCGTTTAGGATTATCTGCCCTGGGGCAGTGGTGAAGGTTGGAGAGGTTAGAAATGGCGGTAAGAAAATGTTATTAGTTGTCTGTGATTTCACGTATGTGGTTGGAACGATTTAAGGCTAAAAAATCTGAGTACGTTTTCGTGCTCAACTTGAGCATGAAATACGTACGATCTCAAGTACGCTTTGGACCGTGCTCAACGCTGAGTTCGAGATCAACAATGGCAGCTCACCCGCGTCAGACTCGACAAGCGAGGCGGAAAACCCGTGTTCCGAGAGTGTTTCGCGATCGTTCCATCCCGCTGGAAGATTTAGATGCAGTTTATTTACTTGGTCTTCTCGATGTAACCAGGGACGCTGTTCGGTTCCACCACTGTTACAACTGCTACTCTGCCTTGGCTTTTGGGCGACAGGCGCTATGCATCTGTTGGTTGGGGACACCCGAAACATTTCCCGATCTACAGCCGGCAGAGGCAGTTTCGTTGGAAGTCTCGAAACTGTCAGGGAGGTTTATAAAGTCCCCAGTTGGAGGAGACGCTGTACGAGCCAAGGTGGGTGGCATGCGGCAACATTGCAGGTAGGTACGTGGGATTTTACCAATGTGGACATAAATAAAGGATTTCATTGGTGTGATTCGTATCTGTGCCATTTGGATTGGTCAGTGAAAAGAATATGGGTGAAAGGTCGAGGTCATGTATATGAATAAAATCAAATTATAATCAAGCGATAGATTTTAGTATAGGTTGTAAATGAAAACTAGTAATCACTTTTCAGTACAGTATACCATCTAATGTTACACCATGACACCTTATACTTTCAGGATTCCAAAGTGTAGTAGGGTGGCGCATTGATAACACATTCGTCAGGATACAGCGGCCTTCCGCTAATGAGGGAGACTTCGTGAACCGGAAAGGTTACCATTCCCTAAATGTACAGGTAAATATCTTCAAGAAAGACATAATTTTAATAATCACATATGCGTAATAATATATGTGTTGGTTTAGGGATGGGGAGATGAGTGACGTTTGTAAGTCTTTTGTATGTATTGTAAGTTTGGGATTAAATTTCTGATTTGTTATCCCACGGATGTGTTGTGATGCAAATTTCTGCATCACAATTGCAACGGCTGGTGGCCGGAATCTGTACATGACAGCCGCATTTTCCAGACGTCAGGCAATTTGAAAATGGTAAGACACGATTTTAGAACAATTTGGTAATAGTCTTGTGCTAGTGAAACAAGCATATATTTTAGTCTGTTACAAATAATGCCCAAATAGTATCATTTCTGTTATAATAATCATTTGTTAAGATGTCAAGAAGTAGCATGCAAAAACGTCAATCAGTTAGTAAATTCAAATCAATATACTGATATGTTTGTATGACCTCTCATTGAATTAAAGTGACATACAAAGGGGACTTGATTTGGAACCCTGGATAAGTCACTGCTGTGCAAAACAAAAACAGAATCTCCATACACCTGTAAACCCATAAGCTTGGATTAATATCCTCCTTTTCAATTATTTTTTTCTCACAGGTTATTTTAAAATAAACAACTACATTAATTAGAGTGAATGTATTTGTTCAAGTAGAATGTTTTTATTTCATTCATCATGTTCAAGAAAAATATTGAAGTATTGTACTTCTTGATGAGACAAATTTTATTCATACATGATGATTTTTACTTTTTACAAGTATTCAAATCATAAAACAATCTGTTATTCTTTAAAAAAAATGGACTTGATTTTATTAGGTTTAAGGACAGTACAGAGGTTTTCTGCTAAGTGAATCAGGTTATGCATGTCGTTGTTTCCTCCTGATGCCTCTACTGAACCCCACCAACCGTGCCGAGGAACGTTACAATGGGTCATTGTGCAGGACAAGGGTGCTCATTGAGCAGACCTTCGGTGTCCTGAAACAGCGGTTTCAGTGCCTCTACAATAAGCCCAGGGCGACTCCAAGACAGGCTGTGTCCTATGTTGTTGCAGTGTTGTTACATAATTTGGGTATAGAAAGGGGAAATATTATAAATCATGATGAAAATCTGGAAAAACGTTAAGCCACATCATTTCTATATTTTCATATATCCCGAGTTAATGCACAGAGAAAACAACGTTAAGCCTCATCATTTCTATGTTTTCAGATATCCCAAGTTAATACACCTGGAAAAATCGTTAAGCCTCGTCATTTCTATGTTTTCATATATCCTGAGTTAAAACACCTGGAAAAATCGTTAAGCCTCGTCGTTTCTATTATTTAATATATCCTGAGTTAATACACCTGGAAAAACCTTAAGCCGACTCATTTCTATATTTACTGCATGCCTGTGAAGAGATTACTCGTTTAATAAACATACAGCTGTATGACACGTTGTGTAATACCAAAGCGCGTCCTTGTGTACTGCTTGAACGAAACTTTCACGAACAAATATTGAAAACCCTCAACATATCTAGGCTTATTCAACGACATTGTGTGTAGAGATGATAGATCACTAACAGGAGTTTATGCACAGGTGATGACTCAAGAAAACCCAGTTGCTAGGCTGACGTCACATGGTATTGTTTCGCCGGTGGATCTCGCAACAAAATTCCACAAATTACGTAAAAAAGTATGGGAGTTAGGATAACCTTAGCACTATTTAATAAATACGTGTCAACTTTTGAAGCGTTTGAAGTATTATTCTGTTCAATTGGATTATGATGTGGATCGAGTGGTTGTCTTCCTGTTCAAACACGTTTCTTCCATTCCCAAGCACTACGGCAGATCTTTTGGCTGTTCCAGGCATTGTCCATCTTTAAGCCAATGTTTCAAATCTGTGTATGATTTTCTCGTAGTATTCCTATGTAACTTGGCGCACAGCTGACACCTCCAATCAAAATCTGTTCCTTCTGAATTAATGTATTCATACTTGAGCTTCTTTTCTAAAATCGCCCCCACAGCTGTCTCATTCCTCTCCAAATATCGGATATAGTTCGCCAAACTCTTTGGACTGTCAAATGATGCCGTGTTGATAAAGGTTCCTTCTGGCAGAAGACGTTCATAGTCAGCGCCTCCACGAACGATGGGAATAGCTGAAGTCATGAACGTGTTGTAGAACTTCTCTGTGATGTAGTCTTTACATAGGGAATTTTCGAACGAAAGATAAAATCTATACGTGGTGTTTAACAGACCAAGACACTCGAAGGACCTTCCTTTTGGACAGTCATAACTCTTATTATTTCTGCAGGCGCCATAAATGTCGACATCAATATGTTTCTGCAGTTCTCGAACATACACTTCCCTCTTTGAGGGTGTACCACAGTTGCTTACAAACCAAGCAATAGATCGGCTTTTCCGTCTCACAACATCACTTATATTCACACTGCCTCCAGTGTACACTATCCTATTGTAAGGAAATGGTATATCCGAATCCAATCGGTACGTCAATGTCCAGTTAAAGCGGCCATTCCAGTCAGGACTGAAAATTGTGTTACTATAATAGTAAGGAGGTGCTTCCCATCCATACATAATCCACACCTGGTTCATGTCCGTGTTTGGGTGTTTTGATGATGGCAAATCAACACCATTGACAACCACAGCATTAGCTGTTGACATATGTGCCTCGTCTGTACTTATTTCACACGAACGAACGTAACAGTGGGCGAAAGATGTAAATGTCTTGTACCAGGGTGGGACGTTCATCCACACAATGCGTTTAGTTGCATGAGGAGTATCTGCTGAAGTAATGACCACATTTCGTCTATGAAATACGAGGGGATACTTTTGAGAGACCTCGAGAATGGACGTTTCTCTTATGGACGTATTAACTTTTGTTGATTTGAAAGTTGTGAGTTGGAACATATCCACATCTAGATTAACTGTCCAATAGAAAGCTACAGAAGCGAGAGTTGTCATTGACAGACTATCAACAAACTTCTTTGGTAGTTGGAGTTCATTATGTCCGAAGCTGAAAAAAGGTGTTAAAGAATGATTATTATGGGCATGCTTCATTATCGGTAAAAATATTCCGCTTCGATGGTCGTGGCTACCACTACCATTACCACCACCACCACCACTATGACTACTACCACTGCCACAACGAGCACTCTACCACCACTATCACTACCATAACCACCACCATTACTACCACAACTACTACTACCACAACAACCACCGAATTCTCTGTCCCTTTTGACAACAATGTTATTGACAAGATTCGGGAAATAAAAGCGACAAAACCTTTTCCACTTACATAGGAAATCTCTGCCAAAAGCAGAGTCAATTGTACGATAATAACTGTAACATGATCATGTGTTCATGGATCACTATAAACTAGAGTTGATACCAGCTCAGGTGTTCGCGAAAAGGTGAGCGTATCCTGCCCCACCCGTAGCATTGTCACAAACATATGCAAAAGCCAGGCAGGACACTTGTTCACCTTAAATGGGCAAATATGAGTACTTCGTGTCGAAATGGCACGCTTGCATCCCAAGTACCAAATTGTCCGACTCCCCATTGTTCTCGGTGCCTTAGATTTGGTACATCCCAATCTATTGACTGAAAAGACGACTCTGCTTGTCGTAAGAGCCGACTGACGGGATCGGGTGGTCAGGCTCGCTGACTTGGTTGATGCATGTCCTCTTATCCCAATTGCGTGGATCGATGCTCATGATGTCCATCACTGGATTGTCTGGTCCAGACTTGATTATTTACAGACCGCCGTAATATAGCTGGGTGCGGCGTTAAACAACAAACGAACGAACGAACGAATTGACATTGGGAGAGTACCCGGGTTTGCTACCAGGAACACAGTCCTTCTGACAATCTGGGTAATGCAGGAGGCTGCAGTGTTGGGGAGCCTTCACATTCTCCAAAAAGTTCTGGGATGGTTTGACTAGGCAGCGCTTCCTGGGAGCAGTCCCATTTGCTGCCTGGGCTGCGTGTAGAGGGGCCAAGGGCCCTAAGTTGAAGATGCGTCTAACCAGCCTCAATGTGTCAGGATCACCCAAATCCTCTTTGCTGCATTTTCTATTTTAATCTGTAAATAATAATTATAATAATAATAATAAAAATCCCTTTGTATTGCTCTTTTTCCATGCTAGATATCATGCTCAAAGAGCATTATATCAAAATATGACGTTTGCCTGGACTGGATTCGTGTATATTTAGTCCGCCGTTATATAGCTGCAATACTGCTGACTTCGGCGGCATTGAACAACATTTCACAGTCTTAATTTGATTGCATGTAGGTTAAACATGATTTCTTTGCACAGTTACTTACTGTTTACTGTTTGTACCGACAACCTCACTTCACTGACGCGTGTGCTATCTTAATCAATCACGATACTTGTCAAAAATGGTCACTGGTGAAATATATCGCAACCACTATAAGTTCAGACATGTTTCCGCCCTTATCATTCCAGTCAACATGTGCAGATCTGGTAGAATCAAACACTACTATATTCTCCACGGTTTTTATTCCAGGGTCTTACCCAAAACGGACACACACACGCACGCATGCATGCACACACCACACACACACACACACACACAAAAACACTCACACGCTCGCACACACACATTGCAAAAAAAAATCCACATATACAAGCTTGTATATGCTTTGGAAAGATGGTATATCCAAAGCATATACAAGTTTGGAATGATGAGATATACAAAATATACAAGTTTGTATTTATGACATATACAAAAATATACAATTTTGTATATATGATGTATCCAAAATTGTTTTTCTTTGTATATATTAGTAAAGGGAGATAATTGTAATGTATTCGTGTGTAATCATTGTATATGTGCAAAATGAAGTATTTTAAGTTGAGCACTGTGTTTCTTTGTAAATGTTGATAAAGGGGGGTAACTGCTGGGTATTGTTCTATAATTGTTTTGTACGTGCAAAATGCCGATCAATATTATTAGCAAGTTACAAATAAAACTGATATAGTGGCGTGTAACATTATTGGGATGTTTAATTAGTACTCCACACTGTTAGCGGGAGTACATGTACATACTCTCCTTGCAATGATATTAACGGGTAAGCGATTGAGGCGTCTGGTACTTTTCCTAGCGCGGCGCTTGGTATTTGGGTAGACTTTATTGTCAAATATACAGAGCGGATTAGCAGTCGGAGGTGATTGCATTGGCGGTGACTTCTTTATTATCATTGGACTCCTATGTATATAATACCCTTGTAGCGAAGGAGGATAATGGATCAGGTTTTACACTCAAGTGTGATTCTACCAATATACTCGACAAGTTCCTAAAATCTGGAGAGGTTCGTGATCGGATAGACAGTATCATATCAGTGCTAGAATCATCTAATCAAGAACAGTGTGACAAAGACAATGATTTTAACCTATTTCAAGAAACTGTTTAAAGTGAAATGTACAATGTACTTCCAACGAAGCGTGTTTTATCTTCCTATGTAAACTCTAAACGGAAAAAGACGAAGAAGGCGTAGTGGACAGAGACTCTGACTGAGCTATGGAACGATATGTGTAGAGCGGAACGCACTTGGTGTAAATCTTGTGGTCCAAGACGTGTTACTCTGAAAGCTATATACGTGCAGAAACGTTCAGTGTTTGATAAAGCGGTTAAACGTGCTAAACGTGAAATTTAAGGATCTTTCACAGAAAATATATCTTTATTTTCAATAAATGTTCTCATTGATTAAGTGTGAGTCTATCTGTCCCCAAGATCCTAGAGAATATATTTGAAACTGACTCAAGTCAAGAATGATTTCACAAGTCTAGATTGCCTAGGTTCTGGTCCTGAAATCAAGGGCTCCTTTCGGATTCAGTTGAGTAGATTTATAATTTTAACTACAAAAGATGTATTTCTGGGATATTGATTGATTTTTTATGTGGGTATTTAAAGATCACAAAATAATATTAAACATATGTAATTTATGATGTAGTTAAGGAATGTGCACTTTTAAAAACCTGTATTTTGTAGTCAACCAAAGAAGATCTTCAACACCTTACAATATATATTGTTTTGAAATGTCTCGCATCATGAACACGTTCCTTATTTCAGTATTGTATTCAATTCCACACATGACTGTCTGTAAACAGCATTTATATATTTTACATTATACGACGGCTACATAGGCAAGTATAACCACAAACACAAACGTGTGGATGTTTAACATTTTTGTGTGTTAAAACACGTGTTATTTTAAAGGGAAATATAAACATTTAGTCTGTTCGGGTAACAAATTCTAACTATTGTTTCCTGAATTAAATATTATTTAAAACAAATTAGCCTACCTCTTGCTGCAATGTGTGGCCCAGTCAGTATGAAATAGACATGTCAACGAAACCCAGACACTTCAGGCATACACATCTCATTTCATGTAATGTGACACCAGATGTTGTTATCAACCAATACTCATGGTGTATACAACCATAGATATATGAAACATCAATGCTAGGTAATAACCATTTTCGATTTTCTTCTCGCAGGTGAATATATGAAGTTAAATAAGCTATTAGAACTCTTGTATGCCAGCTGGGACCATGTCAAAATACCATGTATTTACACGTTGAACGCATTGACAAAGAGTATTGTTATCTTGAACGGTTTCTGCAAACGAAGTATAAATTTGGGATTCTATTTATGCACACGAAGATGTTTCATTTTGAAAATATGCCTGTGTTTGTTTGAAGGGAACATGTTCTTCACCAACTTTGCTTCAGGCTCTTTGCAGGGTAGGAGTACACAAAGACTATTCAGAGACGATCAATTCAATTAATTAATCAGTGCTACTACCAGTGCAAATAAAATATGTTTATATCTCTTTAACGTGTTATGTCTTTGTGTATATATATTCACATAAATAGAGTACACGTTTACTTTTCTACAGTATTATATATATAAAGTACAAGATTACTTTTCTATTTTTCTTAGATCACTCCATTCTAATACTTAGGCAACATAGGGTAGACCAGTCAGTGCCTTCCGCAATGACCTACACGTATGTTGTTTTAAGGTGTATGACAAACGGGACGTGTTACTAATGGGAAGATACCGATAAAGATGGCCCAGGTTGACCCATGCGGTATTCCCTCCACTAGGCAGTTTTCCATGCGATACTCACAGCGTAGTATGTCTCCCAGACCCTAGAGAATAAATTTGAAAAGGACTCAAACTCAAGTCAAGAATGATTTGGCAAGTCAAGATTGCCTCCGTTCTGGCCCTGAAATCAAGCGTTGTTTGGGGCTCTATTTGGATTCTATTTAGTAGCTTTTTAATTTTAACTTCGAACATTATATTTTAGGGCTAAATGTTAAACCACTGACACCGGTACATTCGAAGTTATTTATATCTTGAACTAGAATATCGAATCATCGTTCATTGTCCGATGTCAATACATCGATGACAAGTATGGATATATGACAGTTAACACCATCGTCTATTTATTATAATCAAATTTACCCGTATGTGCATTACTGCAATGGACATGTACATGATCACGCACTTAGTATTATCAAACACTATTTTCTATTGTGCTGTGTATTTAACCACTTCCATTGATATCTTTCCTGGTTGGTCTATCTATGTTTTATATTCAAAAGCAATTTGTTATTTAATTCACTGAATCATGTAGTCTGAATGTTAACAAGACATACAAAATATATAGTTTTAATTGCCTTCCAAAAGACTATATATATTTTCCATCATTTACTTGCTGGCTTGCGTTTTGTTGTGTTCACGGAAAAACATTCCCGTGAGTCAGTGCGCTCAAACCACAATATTTACAGTTTGGCCTATCGATCGGCCGGAGCTACCGCCTGTTATGGCAGCTGGCATTTGGTCATATCATCCTACATGGCTAATGAATTTCCGAAGTGAACAAGAACCTTATCGGTGAGGTGTCACTTATCCTCCTTATTCGACTTCTAGTGGAAATCTGATGTCTCAATTCACAGCTGTTTAATGTATATTTTGCGGTAAATTTTCGAAACAGAGTGAGTGAGTGATGTTTAAACGACAAATGTACAGGGCCTCTATTTGACATGGCTACAGCTCTCCAGTTTGAAACAGTGTATGTGTGCTGTTTAACGCCGCACTCAGCAATATTCCCGTTATAAGACGGCTGTCTTATAAGAGCTGTACTAAGAACAAAGGTTCACGCCGTCAGAGCACGTTAACAACCCGATCACTTGAATCATGAGTTGCCTCGCACTATATATGTGAGCTGCTGGGGATATACCGATATATTTTAAGCTGTTTTTCTTTACACTTAAAACGTGTGTAATGTCAAACATACATGACGGCAAAAATGTCCCTTGTAGTGTATATGTATTTGTTGTTTGTCACACGAATGTATTTGGGCGTCCACATACATGTACATCGATAATGTACCAATAAATGTGGAAAGAATAAACGTACACACCGCATATGTGATTCACAACACGCATTCACAGGCTATCGACGAAGAACAGATACAAAATTGTCAAATTCATACAAGTCTCCAAAGAAAATCGGTTTATCTGGGTATCTGTTAGTGAACACAGAATTGTTGCATATATTTTGTGATATTATAGTTTGCGTTAACAAAAAAGAAATCTGATAATCATTATTGTTCATAATTGATTAAGAAACTGTGTACTTTTAAAACACAATCATCAGGTATTTCTGGGTATGTGAGTGAGTGCATGCTATGTGGTATCTAAGACATCAATATTCAAGCTATATTTCAGTGACATGTAGATTATAAAGGCATACCTATTCACACAAGTGGTTGACAGCATGAACAACAATGCATGTCCCTTATTTGAGGAGACGATTACACACAATGCAACATGTCACACATTGGGTATTATCTTGTATTTATCACTACCGAAATTAAATGAGTGCCACTATGTCTTTAGATGTGAAGCCCTTCACCAACTATATTATTGAAAATACAAAAGAAATATCAACAATGATCGAATATACCCGCACTAAAGAAAATTCTGAATATCTGATATAGTCTTATATATGTACCGCTTCCTTTCTGTAACAAAACTGAACACATTACACAATCATAGCAAATGCATTCATAGCGTTTGTTAATAAAGTATTACTTGAACATAACGTTTTTGAATTTTCAAATCTGGTGGTCTCTAAATATAACAGAGTAATTAAAAAGAAACCTAAAATGCCCATTAAATTATTCAATGTTAAATCAAATTGTCACAGATTCTGATTTCATCGCTCGCTCTTATTGGAAGGATTATCAATAATGGGATGGTTGAGTAATTCAAATATATTCCGATGTAAGAGTCTAAACGTCCTGATTTACTATAATGCTCTCAGTCCAAATGTTTGACATATATTACTGGTAGGAATTGAAACATATTATTGATCCACATCCATGTTTTTTAAGCACAAAATGTCTTTTACGCTCGGCAATAGTGAGGACTGTCATCACTGTGTTTGTTTTTCCGTGGTTTGTTTAGGTGAATATTAAAAAACAGTCAGTGCGATACAGTCCTAGGCTGTCTCACAGTCCCTGAACCACATTTCTTTCCCTTCCGCCCAGCCCTTTCTGTAATACTGAAGTCTAAATGAAGCATATACAGGTTCTCTGAGGTGAGGCAAGTAGCTGGGGCGGCTGGGACCTTGTCCTGCTCCATTTGTGTGAAATATGTATGAGGCCTTGCACACAGTCTATAATCTTCAATATTGCAAGTCTAGCTATATCTGCCTTAATTCATTGCTTCGGGCAAATCTCCTTATGAATTTTAGTGTGTAAATATTAGTATTTCACTACCTTAATCGTGGTCTGATTTATACAAACACACCTTTCAGCATATTCCCCATCGTGCCTATGATTCAGGTTTAATTGTAAAACACAGGTATTGTTTCTTTTGACTGACCAGATACAGGCTATTAGTGTCAAATATTTGCTATACTGGCAGAAAGGCAGAAAGGCATTTCTTTCCACTAGGCGAGAAGTTACGGCCCTTAATATTTTAGAAAGTGTCAATTCCATAAAAAATACATCACTCAGTATGAAAGGCGGAAGGATATATATATATATATATATATATATATATATATATATATATATATATATGCGATAATATCTAATTATATATACTCGAGGCAAATTCCATGTTTAATTGTGTTTGAACGTGACTTGTTGAGAAACAGAAATACCAATACACAAGCAGCAACTGAAATCAAGGCGAGTGGTTTATTAGTTAAAATTAAAGCAGAAAAGGTATTCCAATGTAAGTAACTAATGCATTTTGTCCACGAGCGAACATGCAAGATTCACATAGATTTGTCTTCAATCAACATTACGTTCGAATTGGTCTGTGTTGGCTTGTAGATGCTACTATTTTTGTGGACCTTTCAGATTACGAAAATAACCTGCTCGAATAACAAATAATTGCATTTTGCAAACATCGGGGCGTTCGCGCTTTAAGGGGTCAACAAAAAAACAAATATCAAAATACAGTCGAACCTCGTTATCCCGACACTTGCGTTTTCTCAAAGATTTTCCGGATAACTGGAAATCTGAGTCACTTGTTAACTGACGAGAATTTCGTATTGAAACAGCTAAAGAAATGCTTGTTTAGCCAAGTTTAGATAACATACAGGCCCCTTTAGAGGGTTTGAACTGCAATACAAGCGTGGTTGCTGTACGGTAAGTGTGACACAATAGTGTGTAATTTTCAAGGTGGAAAAAGGGTTACTCACTGTCCGAATTTTCGGATAAAAGAACTATCTTATATGGTATTTATTTCACTGACCATCAATATTGTCCGGTAGGCGAGGTGTCCGGTTATCTGGGGTCCGGAAAAGGGGAGTTCCACTGTAATTTAGGTGATCGTAGTTATTGCAATCAGGATACAGTATTTACATCCAAAACAATATAATTTTAAGAAGTCCATACATACTGTATATTTGCTGACGATGCTGTCCATGCTAAATAATTTCAATTTTTAAAATATATTATTTCGCGAACCTTTTCCTCGACATTTTATCAAAAAGAACATATAAAAAGAAAAACAATGTTTTAATAGATCAAACATATAAAGTAGAAAGTGGTTAGCGACTCTGAGTCAATGCGACAGCCAAAATCAACCAGACCAAACACGATATACGATATTATATGGCGTAATGATATCACTGAGTTTAAGTACTTTTTCATTCCGTTGAACATTGCGGTTGAAGCGTAAAAATGTGTATGCAGTACGAGGCTGCCGTATGACCGAACACATGTCATGATCATACGTGTTTGTTTCTTGTTACATTCAGTTTTGAATTGTTTTGAATTAACATCATATTTTACTATGTCACTATATTGAAAACAGCATTATTTACTTGTAATAGAGTATTAGGTCCGAATCACAAGGTAAACAAAATTCGTCGGCTTCACATAAGGATTTATCTCCCTTTACCTGTTCGGCGGCCCATTCAACATGAAATTGCATATTTTTGTAGAAAAACTCACTATTTGTCTTTTAGTGTGTGTAACTTACATATATTCTGATTGAATTTCATCAGAAAGTGTTTCTGTTTCCATTAGTTATTTTCAAAAGATATGACCTGCATCAGCATCATTGTAGCGGCAAGAAACACAGTATGAAACTCTCACCAAAAGGTTTATTTTGTTGTATTCACATCGTTGCTGCCTTACCGTTAGCGTTATCAAATACATGCGTTGATGATGATGAGGTTCAGAAAACTATAACGACAAACAAAACACTTGTTAGGTTTTCAACACATTTTAATATACAAACTGTAAACGTTTAGGCAGCTGGCTGGGTTTGAAACCCGGACCTCAGTACTAACAAATGCTTAAATTATTGGTTCAAGTGATTTACTCATTTAAGGAAGGACACTTATGGACGTTTGTTGATATTTCAAAATATTATAATTAACTTATATTTTTTTCCGGGGAATCGAGGAGTTCGTCTTACAAAAGATCTAATAAGGATTCTGGTATGCAACACGGGTTGGTTGGAATGATCTAGTGTAGGGGGGAAAGGTGGTTGACCAATGACAGCTGGGAAAATGAGCAGAGCTGTGACGTAGGTACCGGTTTAAAAAGGGAAAAAAGCCCCAAAATCGGGAGCAGCTGGAGAGACTCACTCTAGGAATGGTGCGCCCGCTCTCGGCTTGTTGTCACGATCTTTCGAACCCGAAACCAAAATTAGGCACCAGCAATTCGACTGAGACTGAAGCTCGTACAGTCAATATTTATATTGGCATTTGTATTAACACTAGCCTCCAGCGTGACCATCAGCATCGCAATCAGCACAAACACCAGCATCGACACATGCAACATCTCGATCTTGAGCACGTGTACTAACGACCACACAAAGAGAGCAAACAAAGGTCAGTTCTTTAACTAGTGTATTCCAAGAATCAACTGGGGACTCCCACTGCCTCGTGTGCAAATCTTGTATTAATCCTCAATGATTATGACACGTTTCGTACATTCCCAAACACTACGGCAGATCTTTTGGCTGTTCCAGGCATTGTCCATCCTTAAGCCAATGTTTCATATCTGTGTATGATTTTCTCGTAGTATTCCTATGTAACTTGGCACACAGCTGACACCTCCAATCAAAATCTGTTCCTTCTGAATTAATGTATTCATACTTGAGCTTCTTTTCTAAAATCGCCCCCATAGCTGTCTCATTCCTCTCCAAATATCGGATATAGTTCGCCAAACTCTTGGGACTGTCAAATGATGCCGTGTTGATGAAGGTTCCTTCTGGCAGAAGACGTTCATAGTCAGCGCCTCCACGAACGATGGGAATAGCCGAAGTCCTAAAAGTGTTGTAGAACTTCTCTGTGATGTAGTCTTTACATAGGGAATTTTCGAACGAAAGATAAAATCTATACGTGGTGTTTAACAGACCAAGACACTCGAAGGACCTTCCTTTGGGGCAGTCAAAACTCTTATTATTTCTGCAGGCGCCATAAATGTCGACATCAATATGTTTCCGCAGTTCTCGAACATACACTTCCCTCTTTGAGGGTGTACCACAGTTGCTTACAAACCAAGCAATAGATCGGCTTTTCCGTCTCACAACATCACTTATATTCACACTGCCTCCAGTGTACACTATCCTATTGTAAGGAAATGGTATATCCGAATCCAATCGGTACGTCAATGTCCAGTTAAAACGTCCATTCCAGTCAGGACGGAAAATCGTTTTTGTTGCATAGTGATGAGGTGCTTCCCATCCATACATAATCCACACCTGGTCCCTGTCCGTGTTTGGGTGTTTTGATGAAGGCAAATGAACAGCATTGACAACCACAGCATCAGCTGATGAAATATGTGCCTCGTCTGTACTTACTTCACACGAACGAACGTAACAGTGGGCGAAGGATTTGGCTGCTCTGTACCAGGGTGGGACGCTAATCCACACAATACTTTTCGTTGCTCCACGGGGAGTGTCTGTTAAGGTAATGACCATACTTCGTCTTTGAAGTACAAGGGGATGCTTTTGAGAGACCTCAACTTTTGTTGTTTTGAAAGTTGTGATTTGGAACACACCCACATCTCGAATAACTGTCCAATAGAAAGCTACAGTAGCGAGAGTTGTCATTGACAGACATATAAACAAACATCTTTGGCAGTTGGAATTCATTATGTCCGAAGCTGAAAAAAAGGTGTTAAAGAATTATTATTGGCATGCTCCATTATCGGTAAAAGTAGTCCGCTTCGTAGTCGTGCCTTCATTTTTTTACATTCAATGGGAAATGAATGCAGTGACACCTGACCAATTCAGTTAATCAGAATGCAGGAATTACAATGAACGAAGAGATAATAATTCAGTTATACCCACTGTAATGACTAATAGCTAATTTTAAAACACTTCGAATATCGATTTACAAACCACATGGGAAAAACTTTATCCAGGCCGGATACTCCTCCTCCTACTACTACTGCTATAACTACTACTATTACTACTACTACTACTGCCACCACCACTATCACTACAACTAGCACGACCTCCACAGGCACCACCATTCTCACCACCACCACTATGACTTCTACCACCGCCACAACCACCAAACCACCACCACTTTCACTACCATAACCACCACCATTACTACCACTACTACTACTACCACCACAACCACCGAATTCTCTGTCCCTTTGGACACCAATGTGATTGACAAAATTTGGGAAATAAAAGCGACAAAAACTTTTCCACATACATAGGAAATCTCTGCCAAAAACAGAGTCAATTGTACGAAAATAACTTTCACATGAGCATGTGTTCATGGATCACCATAAACTAGTGTTGATACCACGTGTTCGCGAAAAGTTGAGCGTGTCCTTCCACACCGGTAGCATTGTCACAAACATATGCAAAAGCAAGGCAAGGCACTTGTTCACCTTAAACATGGCAAATATGAGTACTTTGTGTCGAAATGTCACGCTTGCATCCTAAGTACTACGTTGTCCGACTCCCCATTGTTCTCGGTGCCTTAGGTTTGATACCTCCCAATCTATTGACTGAAAAGACGATTATGCGTGTCGTAAGAGGCGACTAACGGGATCGGGTGGTCAGGCTCGCTGACTTGGCTGATGCATGTCATCGTATCCCAATTGCGTGGGAATTAAATATTATTTAAAACACATGAGCCTACCTCTTGCTGCAATGTGTGGCCCAGTCAGTATCAAATAGCCATGTCAACGAAAAGGCAGACACTTCAGGTATATACATCTTATTAGATGTAATGTGACACCAGATGTTGTTATCAACCAACACTCATGGCGTATACAACCACATCAATGCTAGGTAATAACCATTTTCGATTTTCTTGTCGCAGGTGAATATATGAAGTTAAGTAAGCTATTAAAACGCTTGTATGCCAGCTGGGACCATGTCAATATACCATATATGAAATGTATTTACACGTTGAAGGCATTGACAGAGAGTATTGTTATCTTGAACGCTTTCTGCAAACGAAGTAGACATTTGGGATTCTATTTATGCACACGAAGATGTTTCATTTATAAAAATATGCCTGTGTTTGTTTGAAGGAAACATGTTCTTCGCCGATTTTGCTGCAGGCTCTTTGCAGGGTAGGAGTACACAAAGACTATTCAGAGACAATCAATTCAATTAATTAATCAGTGCTACTACCAGTGCAAATAAAAGTATGTTTATATCTCTTTAACGTGTTATGTCTTTGTGTATATATATTCACATAAATAAAGTACACGTTAACTTTTCTACAGTATTATATATATAAAGTACAAGATTACCTTTCTACTTTTCTTGGATCACTCCATTCTAATACTTAGGCAACATAGGGTAGACCAGTCAGTGCCTTCCGCAATGACCTACACGTATGTTGTTTTAAGGTGTATGACAAACGGGACGTGTTACTAATGGGAAGATACCGATAAAGATGGCCCAGGTTGACCCATGCGGTATTCCCTCCACTAGGCAGTTTTCGATGCGATACTCACAGCGTAGTTTGTCTCCCAGACCCTAGAGAATAAATTTGAAAAGGACTCAAACTCAAGTCAAGAATGATTTGGCAAGTCAAGATTGCCTCCGTTCTGGCCCTGAAATCAAGCGTTGTTTTGGGCTCTATTTGGATTCTATTTAGCAGCTTTTTAATTTTAACTTCGAACATTATATTTTAGGGCTAAATGTTAAACCACTGACACCGGTACATTCGAAGTTATTTATATCTTGAACTAGAATATCGAATCATCGTTCATTGTCCGATGTCAATACATCGATGACAAGTATGGATATATGACAGTTAACACCATCGTCTATTTATTATAATCAAATTTACCCGTATGTGCATTACTGCAATGGACATGTACATGATCACGCACTTAGTATTATCAAACACTATTTTCTATTGTGCTGTGTATTTAACCACTTCCATTGATATCTTTCCTGGTTGGTCTATCTATGTTTTATATTCAAAAGCAATTTGATATTTAATTCACTGAATCATGTAGTATGAATGTTAACAAGTACATACAAAATATATTGTTTAATTGCATTGCAAAAGACGATATATATTTTCCATCATTTGCTTGCTGCCTTGCGTTTTGTTGTGTTCACGGAAAAACATTCCCGTGAGTCAGTGCGCTCATACCACACTAAGTCCAGTTTGGCCCATCGATCGGCCGAAGCTACCACCCATTATCGCAGCTGGCCATTAGGGATATCATCTCACATGGCTAATGAATATCCTAAGTGAACAAGAACCTAATCGATGAGGTGTCCATTATCCTCCTTATTCGACTACTAGTGGAAATCTGATATCTCAACTCACAGCTGTTTTTTATATATGTTGCGCTAAATATTCGAAACAGAGTGAATGAGCTTGTTTGAACGACATATGTACAGTGCCTCTATTTGAAATTGCTACAGCTCTCCAGTTTGAAAAAGTGTGTGTGTGTGCTGTTTAACGCCGCACTCAGCAATATTCCCGTTATAAGACGGCTGTCTTATAAGTGCTGTACTAAGAACAACGGTTCACGCCGTCAGAGCACGTTGACACGTCCACAACCTGATTCCTTGAATCATGAGTTGCCTCGCACTATAAGTGTAAGTTGCTGAGGATATACCGAAATATTTTAAGCTGTAATTTTCTTTGCACTTAAAATGTGTGTAATGTCAAACATGCACGAAGGCAAAAGTGTCGAAATGTGTATTTGTTGTTTTTCACACGAATGTATTAGGGCGTCCACATACATGTACAACGATAATGTATCCATAAACGTGGAAAGATTAAACGTACACACAGCATAAGGGATTCACTACAACACGCATTCACAGGCTATCGACGAAGAACAGATACAAAATTATTAAATTGATACAGGACTCAACAGAAAATCGGTTTAACTGGATATCTGTTAGTGAACACAAAATTGTTGCATATATTTAAATGTGATATTATAGTTTACATTAACAAGAGAGAAATCTGATTAACTTAGATAATCGTTATTGCTAATAATTGATTAGGAAACTATGTACATTCAAAACACAATCATCGGGTTCACTCGACTATGACACATTCGCTAACTCTTATTATTGAACAAAATATCGCTGTGCAGGGTTTTCTGAACTTCCAACATGCATGCATTGATGGTTGCGCTTATCCAGGCATGAAAATAGTACATTGGTTCATTTTGCTTCCACACATACGTCCTGATTTCTGGAGATGTGAGTGAGTGCATGCTGTATGGTATCTAAGACATCATTATACAAGCTATATTTCAGTGACCTGTAGATTACTAAGGCATACCCATTCACACAAGTGGTTGAGAGGATGAACAACAATGCATGTCCCTTATTTGAGGAGACAATTACACACAATGCAACATGTCACACATTGGGTATTAATCTTGTATTAATCACTACCGAAATTAAATGTAAACATGCCTGCCAATTTTTAAATTCCGAATAAGTAGCCACAATTTTCCCATTGCGACTGGCCGATGACAGTCTAATCTAAGGGGATGAGTGCCACTATTTCTTTAAATGTGAAGCCCTTCACCAACAAATATTATTGAAAATACCAAAGAAATATCAACAATGATCGAATATACCCGCACTAAAGAAAATTCTGAATAATCTGAAAAACAAAAACAATCCGAAAATGTTCTTAATAACTATTGAACCAAACTAAACATTAGGTAATTAAAAACATTAATTTGTAAATGTTACATCGACTGTGTGTGCATTTATTGTAACATTGTATACAACTGTTTATGTTCCAAGGGGTAGGTGGGTTTGTTGTGTAAGACATATGTGCATCTTGAACCTTGAAACGTGTACATAATCAACAAATAAGTTGAGCTGTGGACCGATTGTGATCCAGAATAATGATTAGTGGTCTAAATAGTCTTATATATGTACCGCTTCCTTTCTGTAACAAAACTGAACACTTTACACAATCATAGCAAATGCATTCATAGCCTTTGTTAATAAAGTATTACTTGAACATAACGATTTTGAATTTTCAAATCTTGTGGTCTGTAAATATAACAGAGTAATTATAAAGAAACCTAAAATGCCCATTAAATTATTCAATGTTAAAACAAATTGTCACAGATTCTGATTTCATCGCTTGCTCTTATTGGTAGAATTATCAATAATGGGATGGGTGAGTAGTTCAAATATATTCCGATGTAAGAGTCTAAACGTCCTGATTTACTATAATGCTCTCAGTCCAAATGTTTGACATATATTACTGGTAGGAATTGAAACATATTATTGGTCCACATCCATGTTTTTTAAGCACAAAATGTATTTTACGCTCGGCAGTAATGAGGACTGTCATCACTGTGTTTGTTTTTCTGTGGTTTGTTTAGGTGAATATTAAAAAACAGTCAGTGCGATACTGACGCAGTAGTCTGTCTCCTAGGCTGTCTCACAGTCCCTGAACCACATTTCTTTCCCTTCCGCCCAGCCCTTTCTGTAATACTGAAGTCTAAATGAAGCATATATAGGTTCTCTGAGGTGAGGCAAGTAGCTCGGGGGGGGGGGGGGGCTGGGACCTTGTCCTACTCCCTTTGTGTGAAATATGTATGAGGCCTTGCACACAGTCTATAATCTTCAATATTGCAAGTCTAGCTATATCTGCCTTAATTCATTGCTTCGGGCAAATCTCCTTGTCCTGCTCCATTTGTGTGAAATATGTATGAGGCCTTGCACACAGTCTATAATCTTCAATATTGCAAGTCTAGCTATATCTGCCTTAATTCATTGCTTCGGGCAAATCTCCTTGTCCTGCTCCCTTTGTGTGAAATATGTATGAGGCCTTGCACACAGTCTATAATCTTCAATATTGCAAGCCTAGCCATATCTGCCTTAAGTCATTGCTTCGGGCAAATCTCCTTATGAATTTTAGTGTGTAAATATTAGTATTTCACTACCTTAATCGTGGTCTGATTTATACAAACACACCTTTCAGCATATTCCCCATCGTGCCTATGATTAAGGTTTAATTGTAAAACACAGGTATTGTTTCTTTTGACTGACCAGATACAGGCTATTAGTGTCAAATATTTGCTATACTGGCAGAAAGGCAGAAAGGCATTTCTTTCCACGAGGCGAGAAGTTACGGCCCTTAATATTTTAGAAAGTGTCAATTCCATAAAAAATACATCACTCAGTATGAAAGGCGGAAGGATATATATATATATATATATATATATATATATATATATATATATATATTTATATATATATATATATATAAATGCGATAATATCTAATTATATATACTCGAGGCAGATTCCATGTTTAATTGTGTTTGAACGTGACTTGTTGAGAAACAGATATACCAATACACAAGCAGCAACTGAAATCAAGGCGAGTGGTTTATTAGTTAAAATTAAAGCAGAAAAGGTATTCCAATGTAAGTAACTAATGCATTTTGTCCACGAGCGAACATGCAAGATTCACATAGATTTGTCTTCAATCAACATTACGTTCGGATTGGTCTGTGTTGGCTTGTAGATGCTACTTTTTTTGTGGACCTTTCAGATTACGAAAATAACCTGCTCGAATAACAAATAATTGCATTTTGCAAACATCGGGGCGTTCGCGCTTTAAGGGGTCAACAAAAAAACAAATATCAAAATACAGTCGACCCTCGTTATCCCGACACTTGCGTTTTCTCAAAGATGTTCCGGATAACTGGAAATCTGAGTCACTTGTTAACTGACGAGAATTTCGTATTGAAACAGCTGAAGAAATGCTTGTTTAGCCAAGTTTAGATAACATACATGCCCCTTTAGAGGGTTTGAACTGCAATACAAGCGTGGTTGCTGTACGGTAAGTGTGACACAATAGTGTGTAATTTTCAAGGTGGAAAAAGGGTAACTCACTGTCCGAATTTTCGGATAAAAGAACTATCTTATATAGTATTTATTTCACTGACCATCAATATTGTCCGGTAGGCGAGGTGTCCGGTTATCTGGGGTCCTGAAAAGGGGAGTTCCACTGTAATTTAGGTGATCGTAGTTATTGCAATCAGGATACAGTATTTACATCCAAAACAATATAATTTTAAGAAGTCCATACATACTGTATATTTGCTGACGATGCTGTCCATGCTTAATAATTTCAATTTTTAAAATATATTATTTCGCGAACCTTTTTCCTCGACATTTTATCAAAAAGAACATATAAAAAGA